AATTAGACTGATTTTTTTAACCCTGTTTTCCAAACTAGATGTGCTCCCTGTGCTCAGGGTGGTGTGGATAAAGCACAGGTCAGAGGGGCAAACACTCCCTGCCCTGTTTAAGCAAGTCACTCATACCAGCAGTTTTGCCATAGGTCACATCAGGGAATTCCTTCTGTCTCAGAGGTATGGTTAATGCAGCAGTGTTTAATGGATTTATGGATTTATGTCCAAGATGTAATGGATTGACTTATAAAGTGGAAGCAGGTTTCTGTTGCTATTTAAGGCAGTTAAGGGGAAGATGCTCAGAACTGGTTCCTTCCTGTGATAGTTACTAGTTAACAAGAAATCATTAACATAACTGGCTTAAAGATTTTAGCTGGAAAGAGAGAGACTAAAAAGCCAAGGACTCTTGTTTAAAAAAAGATGAATTAAGAGAACCTTATAGGAGCTTACAGAATGATAAATGATGTGGGAAAAGGAAAGGGGCAGAGAGGTTTTGTTGTTATCTGCAAAGAAGACTCAAGGGGAACACCCACCAGTGCATATTTAAATCAAGAGAGTGTATTTTTTAATAGGTATTAAATTGTGAAACTCATAACTAGATATTGCAAAAGATGAAAAGTAAGTAGTTTGTGGGGGAAAAAACAACCCAAACCAAATTAGTGGAAGACAGGTCCCCTGAAGGCTAACAATGGTCAGATGTGATATCAGACTCATCAGCTGGGCCATATAACCAGAGAACAGTTGGTTTTCCTTGTCCCTAGTCAACCTTGGCTTCTTTTTCCACAGTCATTTGGCTACTGGGAGAGCCAGGATACTGGGCTAACTGAACACATAGCTAGCCTGATCCAGGGCAGCTGTTTGTCTACTTGGAAAAGCTGGAAGTGAAGTGCAGGCAGTAATGTCAGTGCCCCCAGTCTGGGCTTGCCCTGGGACATCCCTTCAGACTGCCAGGCTAGGAGATAATGAGGAGTTACTTGTGTGTGCTGCACTGAGCTCATGCAGTCTCTCAGCAAAGGGGAAAGGATGTGTTTAGAGATGCATTATCTTTTGCAAGCTGGAAAAGCAACCCAGGTATTCTGCCATGTGATTAGTCAGTGCTTCAAAGGTGGTAACCCTTTCTAACAAGAAGGGTAACAGCTATGCTTTCTGCTGCTTCTCAGCTTGCTCTGTGAGAAATCGTCTTCAGAGAGATGTTTGTACTTTAGTCTTCCATCCTCAGCCCAGGAATGAGGGTGTTGACTGTGGAGATATTTTCTGATGGTTTTTATCTCTTTTTGATCCCTTATTTGTGGTATTAAAATGCCCTTTATGGAAGGAGCACTAGAGAAGTCTTTACATTTTTTCTCTCTCTTCAAATGAAAACCCAAATGTTTAAATACAGGTTTGGTTTGAAACCATTTAAATCAGAGTGGTAGTTGTGGAAAATGTTATTATAGACCAAAGCTAGCTTTATTCCTGTAGGTGTAGAGTGTCCTTGAAATGGTGCATTAAACTCATCTGAAAAAATCAGTATTGTTAAATCAACACAAACATTTTACTGTTGTTCTGGTTTGGGTTCAAGGGATTAGGCAATATGCTGTCTGACAGTGTTCACCTCTGCTGTGGAAGTACTGATCATATGAATTTGCCCTAGTAAGGAAAAAAAAATACATCTAATATTAAAGATATTGAGACTTATTTGATATTCTGAGCCAGTGGTGCAGATGGATAGAGCAGACACCCTGTGCTAGTCATGTCTTTTCAGAATACAGCTCAGTCAAAATGAAAGCTTTAGCAATGCAAAGTGGAAATTCCTGAGCAGAGACATTAATATTACTTTGCATTTTACAAACTGCCTCTTCTGGAAAGTCGGTGGAGTGAAAAAAAGAGTCTTATGGTTGGTGTAACTGATAATTTGTTGAGCGAAGCACAGTCATGGAGAGCTGCTGCACTGTCAAATAAGATGAAATTAATAGTTTGACAAGAATAGCTTGGAGGAGGAGTGATGGCAGCAAGACAGAAAATAGGAAATAAGAACCAAGCTGTTCAGGAAACTGAGAACAAGGAAAAAAACTTTATAGAAGGTGGAGCTGGAGGGCAGAGGCGTGAAAAGGAAGACTTGAGCTTCAAATCTTGCCGAGGTTGCAGGGCAATAGGGTGACATTCAGGGAGGTTGCAGTAGCCAAAGCAAGACTTACCTAAGGCATGGAATGGTATTTCTGAATGTTAGGAATGAATCTGTATAAATAAATAAGCTAAACTGTTCCCTGTGGGCTAGAGCTGTGCCCTCATAGTAGGGCTGAATTCTTGTGGGTTTACTCGTTAAAACTGCATGGCCCTGTAATTACAGTCTCCTTTCGAAGGGAATGTGTCATCACATTGGTTAGAGGGGTAGGCATTATCTTCAGCCCTTCTTCCCCTTTTAGACTGGAAGAAATGTATAATTGCAGGTTGGAGCCAGGACTTTTTATTCCCCAAAGTCTTCTGCATCCCCGAAATTCATGGTTAGTGAGTCAGTCCTTCTCTCATGCCAGCAGATGGTGCAGACTATTCAGGGACGGAGGCTCCCAGAAGCATTCTGCTCCTTCCTTTGAGGGAAGGCAGACTTCCCAAGAGGGGAAAACACTGCCAGAAGGATGGCCCTGGGGCTCTGGAACTGCTACTTCACAAAAACAGAGCACTATCCTTTTTACCCAGAAGCTGAGGGAGTTTGGAAGCAGAATCTACTATGGGCAGGAGTTGTTTTGTACAGAAATAGCTGCAGCATGGCAGGCTGCAGGGAGTTAGGCTCAGATTTTTGAGTGATTGGGTGGGGGGACACCTTCCACTAGCCCAGGTTGCTCCAAGCTCCCTCCAACCTGGCCTTGAACACTTCCAGGGATCCACAGCTTCTCTGAGCAGCTTGTGATAGTGCAATGCTGCCTTGGATCAAGGGCCCATCTTAGGGGAGTGTGATCTCAGACAAAAGTGGAGCTGTAACAGGACATTTTTCTGCCAAAACAGGGCAAAAGTAGGGCCATTCATCTACAGGTGTCAAAATCTGCCCTGCTTTCCCTGGAAACTGTCCCAGTCATCCGTAGTATTGTGCTGTGGAGTCAGGAATATCCCAATAGAGAACAAATCGCAGGTAGCAGATGCCAGATCAGCACCTTTGACCCTCTGAGTAGATCCCAAGAGAAATGTTAAGGGCTGTCATATCCCTGCTTATCCCTGCATGGCTGTTCCCAGGCAAAATACCCTCCTAACCCTGTGCCACTGAGCTCGTGCCCTAGTTCAGGGAATTCTGCCATCTCATGGAGCCAACTCTGACCCAACTTGGCAGGTGAGATGCCCAAAACCTGTTGGACTCAGTCCTTGGAGAGTCTTTACAGATTTGCCATTTCATCTCACAGCCCATGCTGTTCCCTGGGAAAAGGTGTATCAAAAAGCAGATCCTTTGCCAGAGCCTCTCCTATCTTTCCTTCTGTCATGCTCAGACTTTTTTCCTCCCAATCTTTGCAATTATTCCATTTCTGTGCCTTTTTCCTTTCTCAGTTGGGTCCTTCAATGCAACACCTTCAGCAAATATATTCTGCTTTACTCTTTATTATTCTGCCAACATAAAAATTACTAAAAAACACTTTATAAAATATGTTTTGAAAAATCTAGCATTACCCAACCACTAGAATTTCCCATGAAAAGGGCTGGAGATAGGGATCCAAAGGGGTTTTCCCACTGCATAGCCTCCTCCATCAGATCCAAATAGCCAAGGAGTGGGAAAAGAGAATCTTTTCAGGGAGCCCATGCTTGGAAGTGGCTGTGACTCATCCTAGAGAAGACAACTGGTTACTAGTCCAGTTGCTCTAGAGGTCATTTTCTAGGTGGGCACAGATGGTTTTCAGAGGAACACTGGGGGAAAAATGTTCCCAGGAACTGCGGAAGGAAGAGCAATATTAATATATCTCTGGATGTTGTCCAAGCTGCCAGATGCTAATGATTCCAGGCTACAGGGGACTCTAATCAGATCTTAATAAAGACTCTAATAACAGTCTGGGGACAAGAAAGTCTCCCTTCCATGACCAAGCGCCCTGGAAGGGAAATCCAGGCAGAACAAGCTTTTCAGGTTCAACAGAGGGGAACCCCAGCCTGGAGAAGCTCATCAAGGCTGGAATGGGCTATCCCAGGATTGGTCTCTAGGGATCTGTAAAGGAAAACAGCAATGAATTGCCTCCTGCAGCCTCAGAGGGAGGTCTCCAAGGGCAGGAGACCTCTCTCAGCCGGTCCAAAGGATCAGGTAGCGGTCCCAGAACACTTAGGCTCTGCTCCTCTCCTATTTGGGAATGTGGTACTCTTTGCCATCTGTTTTTTCATGTGAGTCCTGTGCGTCTTGGATCTGGGGAGTAGCACTGGGGTTGGGGTTCTGGACACTGCCTATAAAAAGTGGGATGCCTGTTTCATCTTCAAAGATAATGAAGACAAAGGGGCGGTCAAGGCTGAAGGCAGAGACTGAGCGTGACAGCATGACACTGGTAGCAGCAGATGCTTCCACCCCATCTTCTTTAAGCTCCATGGTAGACTGATGCTGTATACTGGATACAAAGAGAGGCTCATCTGAGATCTTTTGGAGATTTGGGCTTGTGAACAGCTCCTGGAGGCCTACAGAGAAAGGAGACAAAGTTAAACTTCCCCAGCTGATGCCACCAGCTCTGATTTTTCTCAAAGCTGTGTGAAGAAAGCAATTCCCTGATCTGTTGCTATGTCTTTTGTCCACCATGGGGACACTGGAGAACTGACAGGCAGCAGAAACAAAAGCTGCAGCCCAGCCGGGTTCCCCAGTCCCTCTGTGTATGAAGGAAGAGCTGAAGGAGCCAAAACCAGAAGAGTTTTCACAACCTCAGTCCATGTTTTTTAGAACAGTGTGTAAGAACTTAGAGTCATCCTTAAAAAGCAGCAGCAAGTCTGAAGGCTCTTTCATGATAGGCTGGAAACACTTTTACAGAGATCATTTTTTCAAGCAATTCTGCAAAACAAAGTGAACTCTTAAATTATTCTCATCTAGAAAGGCAGTACCTGGTGGTTGATTTCAGTTCCAGGTTTTGTGATCTGCATTTTGTCTGTTAGCAATTTCCATGTCCTGGACACTATGTTAAATGACAAGAGATAAAGGTGGAAAGCACAGGAGGAAGTTGGTCTTGGCTACAACTAGGGGAATAGGAAGAACTCGTAAAGATTGTGAGAAACTGTGAACGTTGCCTTCTCTGTAGTATCATCTTGTTGGAGCAAAACATTTGGTGCTAGGCAAGCAAAGAGTAAGGAGGAGGAGAGGAAGAAGAGATGGGAGAGTTTGGAGTTCTGGAGCAAGCTGTGAGACACAGCTTTAGAAACAAGGGTGGCAGGTTTTCGTGTCAGTGAACAGATGCCATAGATTGATCAGCTTCACTTGTTCTCTGCAAATCTTCTTAGAGGCCTTACCCATTTGACTGAGAATCTTGTTGAGTTCCAGCTGGTAGTCCAATTTTATTTTGGGGATCTTCACTGTGGTGGGCACCTCCTTGGGGAAATGCCTGCAGAGTCCTTTGTAAGAGAAGTTCTCCAGCACATCAGAGGAATTCCAAGTATACTGGTTTGGTACAATGACCACAAAACTCATGTTACTCTTAAAGGGAAACTTGGCCACCTGGAAATAAAACCAAGCAGAAGAATTTATGGAAAAGGAAGGAAGGAAAGTCCAGAAAGCGATGCTTTTAATTTAGTCATTTTCTAATTAGTCTACAGAGCCAGTCTGGCTATCAGATGAAAACATCCTGGTGGGAAGGAGGTATCTGATTTCTTCAGAGGAGAAAGTTTGTTGGAATAACAAGATTTTAGTATTAGCCACTGACTGGTAAAGACTGAGCACATGCACAAGCATTGCACCCACTCTGGCTGTATCCTGAAGGGCTTCAACAGTACATTGTCCAAGAGAATTCCATATTTCCTCATTTATCTTTAACTTGGGGCTTGAAAACTCTATTAATTCCCACTTAGTGGGAATATCTCTTTGAGGTTTTTTCCTAGAGATTGAGAGTGAAGATCAACATTCTTGCTAGAAGCAAGGACAAAGGATGTTTATTAAATTTTTGTGTGCTGTGCCTGTTAAAAAAAACAACACTTTTTTTTGAGAGAGGGTAGTTGAAGTCAGGAAAACATAACAGCAAGAGGAAATTCCAATCAAAACTTGCAATGCTCTTGAGAGCCCTACCTGAATGTCCTGGGACTCCAGTGTAAACCAGCTCAGGGGGTACATGTGAGCTTTCATCATCTCCACTGGGACCACAAACTCATTGCCAAGGTGGAATACATCTGGCCCAGTGAAGCTAGCATTAAACTTAGTCCTCCAAAATCCTGTCAAAATAAAAGTTTTGAAATCAATAAAGTTAATTTGGGGTAGAAAACCAGAAACTGCTGAGCTGACACTCCTCCTCTTCTCTAACAAGGCAGACACAGTCACCAGGCAAGTAGAAATAAAGCAAAGAGAAGTCAGTACTGAGGCTGGAAGAGCCCTAACAGCAGGAAACTTATCATCCAGAGAGGGACTGTGGAATAACAAAAAGAACAAGGATTAATCCTCATGCCTCAGCGTGGGAGGATACTGAAGGCTATGGAGATAAAAGAAACGATGTTTGTGCTTTGAAAAATGAAGAGTTTTGCCTCTGTGCTGCACAGGGTGAAACACTGCTCCAAGACCAAGGTAAAATGGTTGTAGATTTACACTTGGAAGTGTCTGGTCTGTGCATGACCCTCAGGGAATTAAAAGAGATAGATGTGTCTGACCACTGTGCTGCAGTCAGAAAGAAATGCATAGAAGCTGCTTCTGAGCTCTGTGGTGGGTGTGTAGTGAGTTGTATGTGACCTGGTTAATCAGAGAATCATTTAGGTTGGAAAAGACCTTTAAGATCATTGAGGTAGATGGACTAGATGAGCAGGGATGTGCCACTCTCTGGGATCCTGAACCAGGAGGCAAAGATACAGCGTGTCCCACCTGCTGCATTCTGGCTCTGCTGTCAAGTAACATTTTTAGCACATGTGAAGCAGTTGGGAATCATTGCTGCAAAGAAGCAAGAGGAACAGCAGATGTACAAGAACAAGCAGATTGACTAGCAGGAAGCAAGGAAAGAAGATGATGTTCAGCCACAGGACTTGCAGAAAACTAGATCTCTAACTCTTCCTCTTGGAAAGTAAAGAAGGTCTGTGGAGCTCACCATGGAAATGGATTGCATTGAGCAAGAGCATCACTGTGCTTTCAGGGAGCTCGTCTAGGAAGGTGGGTATTTGTCCATGAGTCACTTCCTTTACCCAGTTGTTTATGGCTTCAAGGTCATTCTCACTGATCCCAGAAAGGGTCATGGGCTTTGCTCCATAAAATTTCTCTGACTCCTCCAGGAACATCTCTTTCACCTCAAATCCTGTCAGAGGGGAAGAATTCTACATTAAGTCATCAGACATGGAAAGGGTTTGCCCAGTGGCTCAACCAGTGGCATGGCACTCCCAGAAGGAGTGCTTAGGGAAACAGGGATGTCTCCAGGATGGCAGTGTGCTTCTATCACTCTCTCACTGGGAGTTTTATCCTACACCAGTACAGTCCCCCTGTGCCAGCTCTCACCTTTCTGCAGGTACAGACGGGCTGCAAGGCTGAGGGTGGACTCTGTGAGCCTTCTGCGAAGGGTGCCCAGCATGTGGTGGAGACAGGGCACTGACTCCAGGTGCATCACCTCCAGCAAATGCTTCTCTGTCTGATTTGCTGCTCCTAAAAATCAAATTCCTCTTAGGTCATGCCCACGTAGTGGAAAACAGGGATGTTATTCTAGCCATCTCCTGTTAGAATCATACTGTGTCTTACAAAAGAGGCTGCAGAAACCTGAGAGTCAGAGCCCCAGAGAGCAGCTTCAATTGTAATCAGACCTTGTTAAAGCTGCCAGGAGAAAGGATAAGTGGAAGGGGCTGTATTTAATTTGCGTTTTGCACACTGGTTGCTAGGACCTCCAGGAGAGGGTACAGGAATGGGCAGGAAATGGTGGGTTTGCCACTAAGAAGTTACCCAGTGCCAGGTGAGACAGGGCGAGGGCGATGCTGAGGGGCGACAGGATCACGTTGGCTCTGTTGGACTCCAGCTGGACCTCTCGCAGGAGATCAATACTGAATTTCATCAAGCCATCTGCCACCCTCTGGGTCTTTTTCCAAGTCATCTCACAGCTTTTGTCTTCAGCCTCTCCTTCCTCTTCAGAAGAGGCAATTTTCCCAGGGCAGCCTCCGGCCCCAGCTACGGCTTCATCTTCTGTGCTCCAGTCATCCCTCATGCCTGGTGTGGTGGTGGAGAAGGGTGACATGGATCCATCAATCTCCTGGAAGCTGTCATAAGTAAATTCGACCACCTTTGCATCTGGCAGGGTTGGGTTGGCTCCCAGCAGATCAGAGTGTGCGATTCCAGCACTTTTCAAATCCTGGGGAGAAACATGAAGGATAGCACTGGGCAAGCAGGAGCACAGTGATGCCCTCCCTCATGGGCTTTACTCTACACCTAAAAGTGTTGAGAAAACTCTCCAGCTCCTCTACTCTGGTGATGCTTTTGGTTCATTTTGCCTTTAACCTTGAGGTTAAAAGCACCTCAAAAAGTTTGAAAAAGAGAAGGCCTTGTATTCTGTGGAAATGGACCTAGTGAAGGTCTTGCAATGGTTCCTCCTCTGCTTGTTCTCAGGGCCTGCCCCAGGCAAGCTTGAGAGCAAGACCCACCACCTGCTCAGCACACGTACTGTGCCTTCAGCATATATAGATCCATCATCCCCAGCCTTGGTTTCACCTCCCTCACACATTTTAGCAGGGCCCATCTGCACACTGGTCAGCACCCTCTGCTGCTGTCACAGCCCTGATCCAGTTTGGCTCAAATCCTCCTCCAGGCATCTGTGTCTTCTTGACCTCTCTGTTCTATTCCATCCCTCTTCTCTCCAAATTTCCTCATTTTGCACTTTTCTAAGCTTTAGTCTATAGCACTGCCACTGTTGTCCTCACTCACATGGTCAATGGGTTGCATCAGCTACAGGTCTTTCTCCCTGTCATTCTCACAGCTAGTTGTTTTCCTGATCTTCCCTTAACGACCAGAAATTAAGTTGTCCACCTGCCAGTCCCTGTACACACCAGTACTGATGTCCACACTCTGCCCAGCTATTTAGGCTGGAGCTTCCAACACGAAGGAGCACACGGTTGGCAGCAGCAGGGAGTGAAGCCTGCAGAAAGATGGACTTTCTCATGGCACTGGCACTGCTGGATTGCACTGCCTGAGCTCATCTACCTCAGGAGAAACTGGAAAACCATTGCAAACACCATAACGTAACTTCAGTCCCCTTGGGTGGAACCAGTCACTGCTTACCCTCAGATTCCCATATTTGTCTAGGAAGAGCTGCTTTTGGTCAATAGCATGTGCTGAAGAAAACTGTAGGAATAAAGAAACAAAGTCAGGTCCCAAATATCCTCTGAATTTCCAGTCAGTCTTCTCTGCTCCCACTCCTAACACACTCCCATGGGGACAGCCTGGCTGTAGCAGCCCCCACATGTTGACAGCATGGGCAGAGTTTTGGGATACAGACCCAGAGGCAGTGGAGTCCAACGTGAGGACGTGGAAGTGAGCAGGAGCTGGGAGAGACTGCAAACACTGGAATTGTTTAGAGAGGGGCCAGGCCAAACTGGTACAAAATACTGTATTCTCTAGAGAGTGAGCAGTGCAGTTTTGCAATCTCAGATCTGACAGGGATCCAGATTTACAATGGGGGGAGGAAAAAATAATAGCTGTTATTAAACAACCTCCTGTTAACTCCTGAAACTCATGGTCACTAAAGACAGCTGAAGCCAAGTTTCCAAAGATTTTCTACAGAAATACAAACAATAAGAATATCCACAGCTATTTTAGTTGGGAAAAAGATTAGAAACCTCACTGTCCTGGGGCACAGGCTAACCCACAGCAGAGAAGGAGCGTCCTATGCCAATCTGCCTTCCAGAGCTTCTCACCCAGCAGCATTGGGTGGTGTTTGCCCCACGATCTGGTGCAGGGAGCCACTGCACCGCCCTTGCCCCTAGCTGGTGGGGAGAGGCTGTGTTCACACTCCCACATCGCTGGAGTGAGCTACTTACCCTTAGGAGGCTGTGCAGAGCAGATAGGCAGAGCAGACCCCAGAGGAACACCATGTTTCTGGAACAGAAGGACCAGCCGAGAGAGAAGTTATTTCCAGCTGCCTGGCAGCAGTGAGCTGAGCCTATTCAGGTCTACAGGGAGAAAATTATCAACCTGGCCAAACAGGTTGGCACAGGAGCTCACAGAAAGCAATAGGGAGATGCACAATGCTGCAAAGAAACAACACAGGGTCCTGGGTGTGATGCCAAGGCAGCGAAATCAGAGAAGAGCAGGGACCCACACCGGAGCAGAGCTGTAACCACAGCCAGGTACTACATGACGCTCTCCCGCTTGGATCCTGCACGTCTGACCCCGTTGCCCTCGTTTCTCTGGACTGCAAATGGTATTTCCCTAATCAGTGCTGCACACACAGTGCCTCTGGAAGGAGACAAGAGCCTCTGCTCCTTTCCCATGGAAACCACCGAGATATGGGCACAGCATCCTCAGCTGTGCCCCAGGCTCCTGGGAGAAGAGATACTGACCTGCCTTGGTGGGGCTGCAGGCACTCAGCAAGTGCTGTCTGGGAGGGACTTTGCAAGGTAGAAAATGCAATACCAGAGCAGTTTTTCAGCAGTATATCCTGGAACTGAGAGTCCTCCCCTTCCCAGCACTCGCCTTCCCCCTTTGCTGGCAAAGCCAGCCTCTCCCACCCCCACACTCCAGTTCCTGTATGGGGCAGTGGGACCAAGGCTTTCAGGGTCGTGGACAAAACCACACCCATTCCCTGGGCAATGCTTCACCCAGCCACTTTTCCCTTTCAAACAGAAATAACGTATCTTCCTCTTAACATAAAGCCTCCATGCCAAAGCCCAGCCCTCCGTGCAGCTGCCATGCTTAATTCCTGGGGCTGATTTCCACTCTCCAAGCAGACCTGGCTTCAGTCAAAACTGCTGGGCTGAGACCCCAGTTGCTAAGTGGAAGAAGCAAAACTTGGCATCCCTCAACCCAAATCCTGCAGCCACATACAACCCTGCATACCCCTTTCCTTGCTGGTGGTGCCCATCCTCTTCCAGACTCACCCCATTCTCACAGAGAGGCGCTGCTGCTCATTGGAGGAGCCCTCATTTCTATCAAAACCTTTATTTGCTCCTTACCTGAGGTTGTTCATGTCCATATTGGAGCTGGCACCTTCTTTAGCCCAGCCAACAGCTCTGCGTGGGGCACACATAACCTTGTCCAGCCCAGCCTGGCAGTGACCTTCAGCACCACCCCTGTTTGAGAATTTGGCAGGCAAATATTGACCTACAGCATCCTGTTAAACATTTGTTTGAGGGAGAAGAGTGAATGTGTGGTGCACTGGGAGATGAGGAGATGCTTTGGGCTGCTTGTACCCTCAAGACAACATTAACACTGGGTCTACCAGCTCCAAAACTCCCATCGGCAGAATTAACCTGCAAAGTCCCTAGTTGTGACTCTGCTTTCCATACCCTTGTGCTGGCAATGTTATTTTATTCATAACCTTCAGTGAAAATGTAGGGTTTGGTGTTTATGGCCACAGGGGTCTGTGGTTTTGGAATTTTCTGTGCAGAAAATCCCAGCTATTTACTCCCTGCATCCCAGCTGCTTCTGCTGCAGCCGGAGCGAAGCACTGGTTTAACAGATGGCATGTGCCCAGGGCCCCGTGGCTGCACACCGAGCAGGAGGCTGTGATGGCCAGGTTGGGCTGAGCCAAGAGCAGCTGGTCCCTCCCCTGGGGCACAGCACGCTCCAGAGCTCTGCCAGGGCAGTTGTCCCTGGTGTCACACACACACCACTGGGGCATGGAGGAAGTCTTGGGGTGGGCAGAACTCCAGCAGTCCTGTCCTGTGCTGTTTTGTGCTGTATGCAGATGTGATGGTGATTCTTCTCAGCTCTGTCTGTGTCCTCAGTGGGAAAGGATTCCTGAAGGAGCAGTGGGGAGGGCCAGTGGGATCATAACACTTCCAGTCACCCGTTCCTTGCAGTAACTCTTGGCTCCCAAACTCGCCCCTGACACTGGGAAGAAGTGAAAAGAAGACAAGTCTGAGCTCTGCAACCATGAACTGCTTTGGGACATGCTGCTGCAACATGGGGAGTTACCTCTCTTGGAAAGCAAATCCAATTCCTTGTGCAGCAGAGTCTTACTTTACATCCATGGCATCTTCATATCATCCCTTCTCCGGCTCCCCCAGGAAGACAAGAGGTGCCCAAACACAGAGCTTGAGCTCTGGTTGTGGAGCAGGAGCTGCAGCCAGCACACCCAGCCCCTCCAGCACAGAGCTCACACACACACCAGGCTCTGCAGCTCTTTCAAAGAGTTTATTAGAAGTAAATATTTACATCTATTGCAAATGGTTAATAGGCAACATGGGACTGAGAGCTCCCCTTGGGTAGGGAAGGATAGCACAGGCCAACCACTCACCTCCCCAGCTGCAGGTGGCTCAGATGAACCAGCAGCTGGATCAAAGCCCTTTCCCCTTCCAGGACAACCCACCACAGGCTCCTCCTCTGCCCAAGATAAGAGCTTCCCGCTTCCCTCTGGCTAGGGTGAAGGATGGATGGGAAAAGGGCTGCAATAGAAGTGAGGCAACTGCTCCTACTGCTGAGTCAAAGAACACCCTCCTCACCTTTGGGGTGGGAACAGATGGGAAGGGAAGGTCGGAGGGAGGCCATGCTGGATCATGCCTCCTGGCTCTCACCCTACAAGGGCATGATGGGACAAAACTGAGCACCTTTTTGCTGTCCTGTCTTCCCCAGGAATCTGACCAGCACGAAGGAGAGGATTAGAAGGATTTCTTGAGGATCAATGCCAGTGCATGGCACACAGGGCATTCCTCACCCTTACATCACCACACAGGGTGCAGTGCTGCTGGGGCAGGAACCAACAACCCATCCCTACCCTACTGCTCCAAAAGCCAAAATCTTCATGAAACCATCTAGTTCTGGCCCCCCTACAGGGTCACATTCCCATCTCAAACTGTCCCTTTGCAGCAGCCCATTCCTAAACCAACTGGCGAAGCAGATGGGGTTTGTGCCTTGGCTGATTTCCATTCCAGTCTTTGCCCTGGAACCAGCACCGCAGCAGAACGACTCTAGTTAACCTCTCCTCCTCCTGTGCAGGCTCTAACTCAGCCAGCAGAACCTAAAGTTCATAGAGTACTTCCTCTGGGCTTTAAGCACTGACCATGGGAGGTGTCTGGCAACATCTCCAAAGGTGGCAGTTCCCAGGCCCAGCTTCTGCTATCCTAGTAAGACTACTCAGTGGTTCAGGAGTGGAAGTGAAGGGTAAGTGCAGGTGGCAGTAGCTATACTGTTGTGTTTTGTCAAGGGGCACCTCTTACCCCTTAACTGAAGGAAGGAGGGTACCTGTGGTCCCTCTTACTCTGGAGGGCAGCTCACAGTCCCCTGGGGATCAGGCACACGTGGTACGGAAAGCTCCAGGCCTCTCTGCAGGGGCGACAGTGACCTACAACGCCCAATATCTCTCCCAGCAGCAGCGGAGGTTCCTCAGTTATGGCTTTTTTTTTTCTTTTTAAAGGTACAGAAAGACATTAGAGACATTTTACCAAGTGCTCACTAACAACTACACCTCCCCCTGCATCCTCTGTTCAGAAACTCTAACTGCCTCCGCCCAAAGCGACGCTGCTAGCTTCCAGCTCCACCACCAGGACTGTGGGACAGCCACAGCTCCTGGGCTGAGGGTCACTATGCCAGGAGGCGGATGATGCCGTTGTCTGAGCCCAGCAGGAGATGGCACTTCGTGGGCAGTACTGCCAGGCTGGTCAGTGTACCCCGAAAATTCTCTGAGCTCAGTTTGGTGGTGCTGATGGGCAGAGCTGAGGACTCCAGCATGGAGTAGACACCAATCTTGTTGGCCACAGTGCCAGTGACCACTTCGTTGCCGTAGAGGTCGAATGCATGGATGGGTTCAGATGCAGATTTGTAGTGGTGCAAAGGCTTCTGCTCCAGTTCCTTCCAGACAGTCAGGGAATGATCCGAAGAGGAGCTGATTAGCACATTGCCCTCTGCAGCCTGCAGGAGAGGAAAAGCCAGTGAAGCAACACTCCTACTGTAAAAACACCCAGGTAGCTGCCAATAATCCAATGGTCACAGTGCAATCCCTTGGGACAGTCCCAGCCATTTCCGAGCAACTGATGATACTGAGCAGTATTAGCAATGCATCAGGCAGACATTGCAAGCTCTGGTAGTTGGCAACCTCCTCCAGTGCTATCCTTCAAAAGATGGGCTGTGCCTCTCCTCAACAATATCCTGATATCCAACACAACTCATTCATCATCTGTTACTATTGCAGTGGGTAAAGGGATTACCATACAGTCTCCCTCTCCATTAAATCACCTGCCAAATTATTTTCCTTCTCAGGAAAAAGAATTGGGAGGCTCTCTCACAGTGGAAAATACTGCTGAGGGCAGGAGAAGCCTGAAACAGCTTATTAGCAGAGCTAGTGAGAGGGTAAACAACCCACACTGCTGAACTTTGTTTAACCTGCGTCTGGGTCGAGGACACCAGAGCCCCAGCACTGCTCCCTGAGGGTGGGTAAATATGGACAAGAGTTATTCATTAGAGCGACACTCTCCCAGGGAAGCTGAGTCCTGTGGAGAAAGCAACACATTTGCTTCTTCACAGGAGCCACGACTCCTCCCTGCCCCTGCAGCAGACCTGCTCAGCAGGGACTGACACCCGGGAGGGCAGATCTCTGTTCAGCACAGGTTGGACCAAGAATAGCCACCAGCAGCACCAGCAGCAAGCTCTCCAGCAGGCAGGAGAGCTTGAGCAGCCTCTTGGGGACACAGCAAGGGGTGGAGGAACACTTCAGGATGGAGCAGGTTCCAGGATGGTGCAGACAAGCTCTGCCAAGCAGTGCCTCCCAGAAGGATGCTCCACGCAGCCTCAGAGGATCAGTGAGGCCCCACCCTGATCCCAGCTGAAGCTCTCACCTTGATCTGCAGGATGTCTCCCTCGTGGGCAGGCCACCCCCGCATGATGAGCCCTGTCCTGGTGTCCAGCAGCACAATGAAGCCAGAGGAGAAACCAGCCATGACACTGCGCCCGTTGGGACTGACTGCCAAGCAGCGGATCAGCCCAGCGCTCACCCCACTGGCCAGGCGGAACTCATGCTGCAAGACAGAGAGCCCAGCCGTGGGGGATGAAGGTCAGGTCCAGCATTTAGGGAGAAAGAGACCCTGGGGTCCAGCTGACTTCTGTGGGGATGGTGCTTAAGTCCCTGAGTGGAGGAGGATGAGCTCCAGACTCCCTACCTGTAATCCTGGCTTCCTGTGGTCGATGAACCGCAGCACAGAGTCTGCACTGGCCACAGAGATGCTGTGATAGGGAGGTGGCATGGTGGTCACAGCTGAGATGGGGACTTTGCTGTCTAATTCATCAAAAGTTCGGAGAAGTTTGCCTGTGAAAACATGATGGAGATGTGGCAGCAGACACATGGAGAAGGTACACAGCAAATACCCAGTTCTGCACTGAGATTTAAACAAGAGCTATCCAAACTCACATTGCCTTTCTGTCTTTAAGGACTGGGCCAGTCCCCTCCAGCCAGCCCTCACCCCTTCCCTTCTTACCCGTAAACTGGTCCCAGATGTGCACAGTCCCATCACAGCTCACCACATGCTGTGGTGCCTCCAGCTGGCTCACGTAGAAAACAGACTTCTTGTGCTCAGCGTAAGTGAACCGCGGTGGCACCTCACTGGTGCCATCCCCATAGTTGTACAGGGGCCACAGGCGAACAGTTTTGTCCTTGCTGCCACTCAGGAAGAAGTCCTCACTGCTGAGTGGTGTCACACACTTGATAGCCCCTGAATGCCCTGAGAAACTCTGCAGCTTGATCTGGTGGAAGTGGAAGCGAGGGTCGTGCTGGCTCACCCCGATCTCATACTGCCAGTAGGCCAGCCAGTTCCCACACAGCATGTGGGTGCTGCGAGGAAGGTCATGCTTCAGGGCATTCTCCTCGCTGGATGAGCTGGGAATGAAGCCATCAGTGCCAGCACTGAGGCGAAGTAAGCCAAGACCCTCACGCTGTGTGTCCACAGGGACCTGGATGCGGTTCCCTACCAGCACACTCCCAAAAGTACCAGAGTGAGTGTCCTCGTGGGGGCTGGAGAAGGGCTCAGCCCCTCGTGTATCTTGGTCTGAGCCCACTGCACTCTGTGTTTGTTCCAGGCCAACCACCTGCAGGTTCTTGGGGTTCACATTCTCCAGGTAGAGGCTGGCCAACTTCTCAACCATGGAGTGGTTGGGCACAACCGTCCGGATAACATCACCTGAAGAGGCAGAGAGAACATGGCTTCAAGGGAAGGAATTTCCCCATCATCACCCATCACCAACAGCCCCAGAACAGGGTCAGCACAGTGCTGTGAACACAGCATCCTCCACAAGCCAGCCACATGCTGCTCCCAGCCAAAGCAGCCTGAAGCCCAGTGGGCTCCAGACCCAACAAGCAGACCAAGCCATGGTGCAGAAGCTGTGGATTTCCCCCAGCAGCCCTACACCCTCTGATTTCTCCTGAGTTCAGGCCCAGCATGCATGCATAGAGCATGGAGCTCTCTCACAAATTCCAGGAGCTGGTGGCCAAGCCATACCTAGCAAGCAGGAGAATGGGATGTAGGTGATGTAGGCCATCTCAGGGGTAAACACCTTCTGTAACTCCACCAGCACAGAGGGATCCAGGGCCAGCAGCTTCCCATCTGAAAGGGGCACCTCCATCACTGGCACCTCACAGCTGCTCAGTGACTCTGCTGTCAACCCCTGCACAAGAGAAAACAGAAGGATACTCAAGATCAGATGCTCTTACCACATAATTAATTACACAAACACAGCCTGGGTGGACCCTGATCACACCAGTACTGGTGTATGCAGGTATGCTCACCACATTCCTGTATCTGGGTACTGGGGGATGGCAGGAGGACCTCTCCCCTGTCACTGACCTGGTCCTGCAGCTCTTGCAGCAGGGAGAATGCCCCAAAAAAGTTTCTCACTGTGTCACTCAAATGCTGCTGCACCATCTCCTGCCCAATCCTCAGGCAGATCAAGGCAATTAGGCTGATTGTCTTAACACACAGGACGACACGGGCCTGGGCACCGCTGGGGAAACTGAAGAAGACATCCATTACCACCTTGCCCTCCACATATCCCTTTTTCCCATCCTCTGTTTCATGCTTCCTGCCTTGTCTGTGTTACCAGAAGGTTTTGAGCAGCACAAGCTGTGTACCAGTGCAAGGAGGTGCACATCAGGGCAGGAGCAGCCCCACAGCCCTGGGAGCATTAAGGCCCTCACAGAACCATTTCCTAATCCCTGATTTTGTGCTGAAGGCACAGCACACTGCAGCACTTACCCGACAGCTGGTGAAGTGAGGAAGCCCAGCACTGGGAGCAGCACCTCCTGACTGATCTTGGGGAGAATGTCCATCAGTGTGGTGTCTGAGAGACACACCACGATCTTCTGAGCCAGCGTGACAGCAGCCAGCAGCCCAGCCTCCTTCCGACTGTTGAGCCGCCCGCCGCCAGAACTGCCGGGCGCGACCTGCAGGAGGGAGTCCTTCAGCACCAGGGCCACCACCTCCCCAGCAGGACACACTAGGGTGATCATAGGATCACCTGAGCTCAGCCTCAGAACCCAGTGTGGTAGTGCTGGTCGCAGCCACTGGAAGAGGAACGTGAGCATTGAGCCTCAAGAGATCACAGAATCACAGGTCAGGTTGGAAGGGACCACAGTGAGTCATCTGGTCCAACCTCCCTGCTCAAGCAGGGCCATCCTAGAGCACAAAAGATAGATGAGCCTGGAGGGGATGGGACATGACATCTCCAAGCTTAGCCCTCTGGGCAGCATCTCCCTGCAGGATGCTCCCACAGCTGGGAAACTTGGAGGGGAGAGAGACAACCCCAGACCATCTTGGACACCCCAGAGCATCAACTGCCAGCACAGGAAGAGGGGAAACCTATTACACACACATGATATAAAGCAAGAATCAGTGTCTTCATCCCACACCATACTGAGCCTGGATGCACAGACTGCAGAGGAAGAGTCCTTGCATGACATATCCAAGCACAAATCATGGGCAAACCCACTGCTGGCTGCTAGAAATCCAGCTGTTAATAATTTCATGAGGCAGAATAGCACATCCTTTTTTTTTTTGCTGACAATGTACTGATGCTGGTTATGGCAGTGCCAAAGAGTTAATAGCATCAGCAGCAACACTCAAAGATTCCTTCTAGATTGTCCTATTTCCTAACTCCTAGACAAATCAAACACCCAAGAAAAGAGAGCCAATAACAAAACCCACAGACAATTCCCAGTTTCCGCTATATTTCTTGTACACCTGCCATCTTCCAGCTCATCACAGAGGCTCTTGCTCTCACAAAATAGCCACCCTGCCAAATCCTGCAAGAGGGATTGACTTTATCCTATTTGTGACCTGCAAGTTCCATCGCTTTAATATCAGGTTGCCAAATGCTGTTTCACAGGGATATTAATCCCCCCAGTGCCCCCAAGCAATGAGCTTAGCAAAGCAAAGCAGAACAGCTGGAGCTATGATTGCAACTGGGTGGGGAATGATTTTGCTGAAAAACGGGATTTTTTCCCCTGAAAAATCTCCCCTTCAACACTGGAAAAACTGACAATGCCTTTTTGTTTTCTTTAAATGAACAGCTGTGGCCTCTTTTCCTCTATGTTTAAATTATCAAAAAGCTACTGAAGTTTTCCATTTAAACGAGAATCCATAACCAAAGTGTTTATAACCACTAAAAAGGAAGCGATATGAAAAAAAAACGCCTGTTTAAAACATTCAAAACCTTTTTTTTTTTCTGATGAAAAATTTGTTTTTCAACCAGCTGCATTATACATTTTCTTCCTGCTATTCAACTATGAATTTCAAGCTGAAAAAGTTGCTAGGTCTTGCCAGTACTTTTTATACAGTTGAAAACCCTTTAGCCTCTCCCCAGCTCATCCCTATCTACCCCTACAGACCTCTATGAACACTGGCTCCAGCAATCCCACAGCAGCCCAAGCTGCTCCTCCTGCCTGTTATCACAATCCCAGCCTTGTGCCAGCTCTGTTTGGGCACAGTTGCTCAGCAGAGCAAAAGAAAAGCTTTTTCTCTGGCTTCCCTCATGTCAGACATGGATCTGACAGGGAAAACAACTCCTGGCTGAAATGGGGAAAGAGGGGTACACACACAGCTATGTGGCTTGCTGGAATCAGTCTGGAGCTTATGGCAGGAGGTGGAAGTGCCTCTCCTGCCCTTCTCAGCCAACACAGACAGAGCTGCTCAGCCCACACTGGCCCAGACAAGCTCACTTTTTTATGCAGGAGGCTCCTGGTGAGGTTGAATTATTAGTTTGTGCATCCTCCTTTTATGCCTGGCCACAGCTCTCACCCCAACATGCATGAGAAGAGGAGAAAAGGCAATACTAACCAGGTAGCTGATGTAGGGCAGGTACTGGTAGGTGAGGACAGGCTCTCCATACAGGTATGCCACGTGTACAAGACAGGCCAGCACTGGCTTGGACACCTGATCCCCCAGCACTGGCCGTTTTTGGTAGATATTTCCTGTACTCAGGGGACTGTTCTCATCGCTGCTTGGCACAAACTGCTGCCTGGTAGGGCCTGCCCAAAGAACACAACAATGAGCTGCAGCAGCAGCTACATGCAAGCCACCAGCAGTCAGGTTTGGGGCACAGCCCACCCCGAGACCGCGGATCCAAGGAGCAGCCTTACCAACGTAGCAGGACGTGAGCAGACGGAGCAGGTTCCTGGCGATGAAGCGGGACGTGACGGTTGGGCCCAGCTTGGCCGAGAGCCACCTCACCATCTTACAGGCTGTGTCTGCAAAACAAAAACAGTTGCAAGGACAGAGCCTGGCACAGCACAGATTAGCTATCGCCCTCCTGCTGCCCCGACCCCGCTGGCCCCAGGGGCAGCACCCTGGGGCTCAGATCCACGTGCAGATCTGGCCTTTTACACTGGTTTCATTGCTGTCCCCAAGCTGGGACCATAGACACCCCCAGCTCTGGACCCACTTCTCCCCAGGCTCTGCCCTGTAGAGGGTGTTTGCTATGCTTGGCAGACAGACTTGATGCTGTCAGGGTCTTACCCAGTAGTATTGTCTGCTCTTTGTCATCGGAGTGATCCGGCAGCTCCTCTCCCTCCCCATCCTCTGGCTCACTGCTGTCATCAGCCAGGGTGACATCCACTGAGGCACCAGCATCCACAACCACCGTCAGCTCTGCATCAACCGCAGCGTCATCATGCTCCTCTTCATCATGCTCCTCTTCCTCCTCCTCTGAGTCCTCGCTCTGTTTCAGGTCCTGGCTGCTGTCCATCGACTTCAAGCTGCTCTTGTCCTTCTGGGAATCCCCGTCAGCAGGTCTGTCCTCCCCCAGGGACACCTCGCTGGCACTGCTCTTGTCACTCAGACGGCCAAGGCTGAGCGATTCCTGCTCCTGGGGCTGCAGGGACTCCCCGACGTAGAGGCCACTCTGGAAGTCCTCACCCTCAGGCAGGTAGGCCTGGTCATGGAAGCTGACACCAGAGGTGTAGTCAAGGAGGTCAAGTGCAGCAGAGCTGTGCTCCGCATCCATTTTGATCTCCTCCCCAAACACACATGAGACAGGACTTTCCCCTCCACTCTCATCATCTTCAGCTGTGCCAAGGAGGGATTTGCTCTCCTCCCGCGAGCTCTCGATGCCAACTAGGATCTGCAGGATGTGGGGCAGCAGGTTCAGGAGGAAGGACTGCAGCCCCAGGCGCACGATCAGCTGGGCAACAAAGCAGTCTGTGTACAGGTAGAACCTGCCATGGCGGTAGCAAGGTGTCTCATACGCTCCTATCAGTGGCTTGAGCAAGTATTTATTGGCATTCTTCGGGCCCAGGGATTTAGCTATAGGTTCAAAGAGGTACCAGGCTGCATAGACAGCAGTATTCTCCTCAGACATCAGAGATAATATAAAGGGCAGAAGAATCTCCAAGCCTTCAGGAGTGATTTCAGAAAGGATCCCCTCCAGCTGCTGCCACAGCTGGAAAACAAGCTCCCGGCCTTGACCTTCATCCTCTATCTTCTTTGCCTGATAGGTGAAAATGAATTTGTGCAGAGCTGGGAAGTACGTGGGGAAGGGAACAATGGAGCTGAAGGGACTGAGGAGCTGCATGGGACAGGGTGGGGGGAGGCCCTGGGAGATGGGTTTGTATTCAAACAACTGCACCATGCCCTTGCCTTGCCTGGTCTTCAGAAGCTTCTCCACTGGCACACTCAGCTGCAGCAGGACGTGCAGCATGTGCTGGAGCGGAGCCGGGATCTCCTTGGGATGGTAACGACACAGATTACGCACCAGCAGGAACCGCTCCAGCAGGGATGCGTCAGGCTTCGAAGGACGAATCCTTGGTGCAAATATAATCTCAGCTACCAGAATGCCCAAAGCTTGCATGTCCCTCTGGAAGAGGTCTGAGAGACCCAGGGGAAGCTCCTCCCAAGGCTGCTCCATTAGCTGCATCTCACTGCTTAAACCTTTAACCAAGAAATTGTCCAGTTTCTCCAGTTCTTCCAGGGCCTGGAGTGGATTGAAGCCTTCAGGAAGTGTGATCTTCATGTCAGCCTGATCCATGGCACCCACCTTGCTGCGACGGAGAGGTCGGACAGCTGAGGATTTGCCGTCGGTGGCATAAGCAGGGAGGGTGGAGGGCTGTGCTGGGGGCACAGTGGCACAGGGCTGGTCAGCAGCTCTGCTAGGAGCAGAAATCGAATCCAGGGCTTCTGTGCCTTGCTCCAGATCATCCTCACCAGCGATGGGTTTCTCTCCAGACCAGGTAGTTTCACTGGGAGTAGCCTCCTGGATCAGCCCATTAACTGCATCTGTCACCTGGCCTTGGATGTCCTCCAAAGCCACAGTCTCCCGGATGTTCTGGAGAAGGGGCCGGGCAATGGCTGGGGCTTCAGAAGTCCCACCATGCGCCTGGGATGCGGCTGGTCAAAAAGCTGCACCACCCCATAGGTCGTCAGATGCGTGTGGTTGTCAACTAGATGGAGGCAGACATTCTTCTCCTTGACAGCATCCTTCCCCAGCAGCTTGTAGCCAAACGTGAGGTCAATCCAGTGGTGGAGGTCCTGAGAGACCTCTCGGCTCTCCAGCAGCATGCGGTGAACTTCAATGAACTCCTCGTAGGAGCTACACCAGGATGGCACATCCAGGTCGGGCATGTCCGGGTGGATGGATCGGCAGATGGAAGGGTCTGTATAAAACTCTGGGATGCACTCATCCGGGGTCCAGCTCTGCATGCGCTCCATGCTGGCTGGATACTCGTTGGGCTCCCACTGGGACCTCACGTGGCAGCACAGCACTGCCTTGGGTGTCCTGCGAGCTGTGTACACGTAGTAGGTGATATCTGAAAGGACATCGGAGATGTGATGGGGCACATGGAGCTGCTCCCCACTTGACCCCCCGGCAACAAACGCCTGCTTGGTCATCTCGTAGGTGAAGTCCAGCTGTTTGTCTCCCTTGTTGAGACGGAACTTGGATTTCCTTAAATCTCTGAACTTGCCATTTTTGGTAGTGAAGTCCACCACCCATGGAAGAACTGGGTGATAATTGGGGTCTCCCATTCTCCTCCCAGCCAAACTGTTTAGACGCATAAGGTATTCAAAGTTGCTGACCTGCCCATGCACCCACTGCAACACCAGGTCTCGCAGCTCCTTCTGGCAGGCAGTGCACTTCACCTCCTGCCCCTGCACACCAGTGTGGCTTTGCTCACTCACTCGTTCCACACCGGCCTCCAGATTCACTTCCTCCTTTTTCGGCTCCTCGTACTCTCTGAAGTTCACACGGAGCCGACTGCACAGCTTGTCCTCTTTGAAGGGAAAAGGCGCCACAAGCCAGACCTGCTTGGTGACAAGCCCTCATGGCCTGCAGCACGTGGAAGAGGAGGAAGAGGATTTTGGCGTGGCTGTTGGTGAGCTTGGCCGGGCTGAACGTCACGATGTCATGCAGACAGTACTGCACGTACGGGTAGACAACATACAGCATGTTGGCAGACTCGAGCAGAGCTTCAGCCTGCAGCACGTTGGGGCACGAGGGCACCCCCTTGGTGGGCACCA